TCAAGCTCCTCTAGGACAGGGATTGCCCATAGGTCTAGCACATTCTTATTCACAGAATAGAGTCTCAGTGAATCTGTCTGAAATGAATGCTAGTGTTGAATGAATGGAAGGGGGAGAAAGAGTAAGCAGATAGTGAGATCAAGACAAAGGCTTCTCTCTTTATTCTTTTCCAGTTTATTATTACTGATGACACTTCATATAAGATTGGAATTGTGCATTGTTATCTGCTTGTGGGAGATCTGCATGCATTTGACTTTCAGGTTCCATTGTGGATAGAAGAGCAGGAGTGTATGCAAAGAACAAAGTGCAGGAAGAGAAAAGGTCAGATGATCAAGTCAAAAAGAAAAAAGCTTGCTCTGACCCATAGAGTTAAAAGAATACTAGATTTAGAGAAGACCATGTTCTCCTCCTTGCTCCTCTACTATTTTGTGTGACATTAAGTCAGGTCAGTTTACTTTTCTGAGTCTCAGATGGTTAGGTAGCTAGTCAGGCATGAATGAGTGAGTAAGGAAAGGACAATGAAAGAGGACTGAAAACTACAGGTAACCTTATCTGATAGGCAAGCTACTGGAAGATGGGGGCTCTTTTGTTAAAACTTGCCCCAGCCATAATTGCATCCTCTTATCATAGAAACTGCCACAGCCCCCAATTATCCTGGCAACCCAAACATTAAGACCCTCACAAAGAAAGCTTGCTGAGGGCCAGTCAAAAGGCTGATAAACTGATTAAGCGGGGCAGGAAATTGAGGTAAATATAGGGGGACTCAATTTCCTTAAAAACTCCAATTCTGTGATCACCACACCATCGTCTCTTGGTGGCAGTGCATGCAGTTCCTATGCTGTCAGTCCAAAATCAAAAGGTGGAGCTATGTGGAAATCTCTGGAAACTTCTCTGTAACTCAATGATTCTGGAAAGCAGGAGAAGTGCACTGTCTGAGAGGACCCACTCTCTTCCTTGAGAGGGTCCCTTCTTTCTCTTTCCTATCCCTTCTAAAAAACTCATTCCTGTTATTCTGAGCTACATATCTGAAAATTTTCTGGCATGTTCACAAGAATTGTCCTGTGTGACTGCCTCAGCTTTGGGATATGCCTATGTCCTATAACAAGATGTTCAATGGTACAATAAAGATAATGAATTCTGCTGGGTGTGGTGGCACACGGCTGTAATCTCAGCAGTTTAGGAGGCTGAGGCAGGAGGGTCACAAGTTCAAAACCAGCTTCAGCAGCTTAGTGAGGTCCTGAGCAAGTCACCAAGACCCTTTCTCTAAATAAAATATTTAAAAGGGCTGGGAATATGGCTCAGTGGCTAAGCACCCCTGGGTTCAATCCCTGGTACCAAACACTAATAATAATTTATGTATTTCATATGACACAGCACTCCATAGAAGGTTACCTGGGCTCAAAACTGAGAAGGCACTTTGGCAGAAAGAATTTAGGGCATTGTCTGCACAGCAGAGAGGTGGCTTATATCACCAAGTCAGGTAGACAAGTTGTCTGCTTCAAGATTCCAACAAAGGGAGGGAGGCTGAGTTCATAGACTCATAGATTAGAGCCAGCAGGGATTTTAGAGACACCCTTTCATTTTGGTTGGGAAATCATCCTCAAGGTCTCACTGAACTCAGCCTGGATTTCAGGTTCCCTTTTCACTGTGTGCCATAAGACTCTCCTTTAAAAAAGCAAAGTTTGCTCTTGTCCATGTTTAGAGACAAAAAGTCTCTGTCTTGTGTCCTAGTACAGAAATGATGAGGACAATGATCTAAAGTTTTGCTTTGTGTTTTTTTAAGGTCTAACACGCCATTTCAGCTCAATTCTGGCTTGCCTTTTACCTAGGGGGACAACAATCCCCTACTATTTTTTGTTTCTTAATTTTTTTGTAGTTGTAGATGGACACAATGCCTTTATTTTATTTTATTTTTTATTTTTATATGGTGCTAAGGATGGAACCCAGTGCCTCACACATGCAAGGCAAGTGCTCTGCCACTGAGCTACTTATTGCCCCAGCCCTCTCCTACTTTTTTTTTTTTAATTTGTAGTTGCAGATGGACAAGTATGGCTTTATTTTATTTGTTTATTTTTGTGTAATGCTAAAGATCCCACCCAGTGCCTCACACGTGCTAGGCAAGCCCTCTGCCTCTGAGCTATAGCCCTAACCCTCTCCTAGTGTTTATTTAGTACTTACTATGTTTTTGCCACTCTGTGAGGTACTGTGGAGGTTTGGAAAAGATTAAGTAAGACCCTTCCCTGGCTCTCAGAGAGCTGGGCGTGGGAGGCAGGACTCACAATGTGAGAACAATGGAAGGCAGTATGTGATTCAGAATACAGTGAGTAGTGCAGGCAATAAATGCTGTAGAAGTTCGGAGGAGGGAGAGAGCTCTGGGAGCTGGTGGGGAGGATTGGGGAGAGTAGGATGTTCCCTGGGCTTTGAAGGATGGTAGGATTGTTTATTCAGATATGGGGGTGGGCACTGAATTTGAATACATGTGTATGCTTGCTTGCTTGGGAGTGCACACAGGTTTACATACGCAAATGCACAGATGGGTAACAGGTAGCATTTAGTGGGCACTTTCTATGTACCAGATACTGCATAATGGTCTACAAAATTCAATTCATTGAAATCTGCATATGTCTGTGAATCAGATAATAGTATCTTTCCATGAATAGATAAGAAATGGAGGCACAGAGAGGCTGAGTAAATTACCCAAGGTGACACAGCAAGTAACTGGCATAAATGGGATTTGAATCCCAATCATAGAGACACTTTGCTATTTTACTTAGGTATGAAGAAAATGAATTTGTGGCTCAGGTGAGGAAATTAGCCTGGCTATAGTCATTGAGAATAGTCACTTTGCAAACACCAGAACAGCTAGGCCAAATTCCCAATTGAAGGTGAAAGGAAAGCGAGAAAGCGAGAGATAGGTGAACAAGAAATAAAAGATGGAGACCAGGCAGAGATACATAGGAGAGAGTTTATTTGTCAAAGCTGACAAATAAAGAAACATCCCTCCTTAGTGGAGAGAGGCAACACAGGCTTGAGTTCTGGGGCTTTTATGGGGGAGGCTCAGGGATTAGTGCTAGATGGGTCCTAATGTGGATGATTAAGGGTGGGGTTGGATGCCCTTGGGCAGGAAAATGGTGGCTGTTATTTAGGATGGTGGCCCAGATGCTAAGTAAGGACCTTATAGAAGGGAAAGCGAGGAATGAGAGACCGGTAAGCAAGAAATGAAAGATGGAGACCAAGCAGAGATACGCACAAGAGTTAATTTGTCAGAGCTGACAAATAAAGGCCATCTCTCTGTAGGAGAGAGAGGCAAAACAGGCTGGAGTTCTGGGACCTTTAAGGGGGAGGCTCAGGAACCAGAGCCTGACGGGTCCTAAAGTGGGGTTAAGGGTTGGGTTGGTATGAGGGAGTGGTGAGCCTTTTTCAGAAACGCCTTTGGGCAGAAAGCGAAACTTTTTCCTTAAAATGGTGGCTGTCACTTAAGACATCCAGAAGCTAAGCAAGGACCTTATAGCAATTGAAGTTCAGCATGGAAATTGGAGGGATTAGTGGAGCCATTTACTGAATGCTATATCCTCATTCTTAATTTGAAGATAGGAACTTGAGGTCTCTGAACACTGCACGCCATTGCCAGGAAATCCCCAGCTTTGTCCTTAATATTCCTTGGTTACGTTGCTGAGGATTTAAGAAACACCTAAGGGGAATGAATGAGTGAGCCTCTGAAATCAATTTTTGTTTTTCTTTATTAATTAGCCACTTAAGAGAATTGTGCTTATGGTAGATACTGCAAAATACTCGGAATTAGACAAGACTACCTTGGCCATATTTGTAGGAAAACCAAACTTGGAAAGGATGGGAGGGCAATGGCCTGATAACATAATAGATAGTATTTTATGTTTTGAACCTGGCTTACAGCCCAAATCCAAGTGTTTCTTAGGCAAGGTGCCTGACTGTGTTTTTCTGGATATTCTTCTAACTCATTGTGAGTCTTCAATAAATATTAAGTCAACATTAGGTAGACTCTGTAGAGATCCTTTTCCTACTCCCTTGTCCCAAGAAAAGTAAATGCAGTTGTGGGTAGGAAGCAGCAGTGAAGAGGGGAACCTGTGCCTCTGCATTCACATTGTCCTGGATGGCTTTTTGCAGCCGCTCTCTTGCAAGGAGAGGGAAGAAAAAGGCAAAGAAGCCAGAGGAAGCTCCTTTTCTTCCAGCTTGTCTACCATTGAAGGCAGGTCTGCAGATTGGGTAGAAGGAGGTTGAAGGAGAGGGAGTGGCAGTTGGCCCGAGGTAGAGGAGAATTCACAAGACCTGAGCAGGAGGGAGAAGAGCAGGGCCAAGAAGACTTTGTTCTAGGCACTGAAGTGGCGGCGGGGGGCGGGGGGGGGGCGGCGTAGCTGTGGCTAGAAAGGTGAGAGAAGAGGCTGTGGTCCCGCACACACCTTCCATTTCATGGCAGAAGGGAGGAAACGGGAAGAGAAGGCCATACCCACCACACCCCCAAAAGCCAAGGTTGCTCAGCTGCTCATCACTGGCCAGGCTTCTCCATTCCACAAGAAGTTAGCGAGGGCCGGCTGACTGCCTACTATGTGCCAGTTATACAAAGAATTTTCATGGAGAACATGGAAGGCAGAGTTAGCGAACGCAAGGAAACGAATTCTGCACGGGGTTGTGGAGGGCGGCTGTGCACGCATGCAGTCTCCTCAAAGAGTGCAAAGTGAAGGCAGGCTGGGAGGAGGAGGAAGGAGGCGGAGATTGAGCCGCAGGAGGGAGGCGGAGGGAGCTCCTAGGCGAGGCAGGGTGGGAGGTGTGAAGGGTGGACGCGGTGGGGGGAGTCGGCGGCGGGCGGGAGAGGGACGCAGGCGAGGTGGGGTAGTGGTGGCCCGAGGACGTGGTGGGTGGGTAGGGGCGAGAGGTTGTACCCGTCGGGAGGAGGGACGCGGGAGGCGGCGGCGGCCGCGAGGGGGAGGAGAGAAGGAGGGGAAGAAGGAGGAAGCGAGCGCGGTTGCTGCAGGGGGAGGAAGACCGGGAGGAGGAGCCCTGCGCGACGGCGGCGGCGACAGCGGCGGCGGTGGCTGCGGCCACCAGGGGAGCCCAGCGCCGGGGCGCGGGGAGTGCAGGAGCAGAGCGGTGGCCCGAAGCAGGGCCACGGGCCGCGCTGCCGGTGAGTGGAGCCCTGAGGGGCGCGGCGGCCCGTCCCCAGGGCCGGCGGGAGACGCGGGAAGATGCGGCGGCGCCAGGGCGGAGTGGGGGGGGGCGGCTGTAGTCCAGCCCCTGGCTGGCCCGGCCTCCCGCCCTCCCTCTCGGCTTCCTCCCGCCGCTGCCCGCGCGAGGGGGGCAGGTCCCGGGCGGGCCGCGGGCTGAGGGTGGTGCTGCCCGGAGGGCGGGCGGCTGGGGCCAGGGGTGGAGCTGGGGGGCTCGGGGGTGTACCCGGGGGCGGGAGGCTGGACCGGGACGGCTCTAAATTGGCTGGAGGGGCCCGTCGGCGGCGAAGTTGCTAGCTGGGGGCAGAGACGGCCACGCGGTTGCAGGAGTAAGAGATCCCCCTGTGGAGTGCGTGAGACGAGGACTCCGGCGTCCCTGCCATCCCAGTCGCCCTCCCCGCCTGCCCGGCCCCGGAGCCCCTCTCCTAGCCTCCACGTGTCCCCTCGCTCACACCCGCTTTGCCCCCCATCCCGCGGTTCCCTCAGGCGGCACTGCAGGGTCCCCTCGGCCCCCGCCCTGACCCTCTTGGCCTTTGGCTTCCCTGACCCCTGCTTGCTTCGCCACTGCCCCTGTTCCCCTTTTCTTCCCTCGCTAGTTACCCCTCCCTCCCCGCTTCGTTAATTCCCGATGCAACTGCCTCTTTGAGACCTTTTTTTTTTCCTCTCCTTCCTTTTAGATTGGCCAACGGCTCCTTTCAACCCTGCCTCGTTGGTGGCCACTGGAGAAGCGCGGGGGGCTCCCCAGACAGCCGTGGGGACAAGTTAGAGCCAGCACTTTACCCCGGGCCTCGCGTGTAGATTCCCTTCCCCTGCTCTAGGTGCCCCCGTGTCTGGAGAGGGGTGCAGGGGTGTGCCCTCCTTACATGTTCCAGTACCCGGGCAACCCTCTGGGCTCGTGTTCCATCTCGCTCTTGCTTCCTGCACAGTGGTCAAGGGGAACCACTTTGCATCATGTCCCGGTATAGCTACCATAGTCTCCTGGACTGGCTCTATGGGGGTGTGGACCCCAGTTTTGCAGGCAATGGGGGCCCCGACTGTGCTGCCTTCCTCTCTTGGCAGCAGCGGCTGCTGGAAAGTGTGGTGGTCCTGACCCTGGCCCTGTTGGAGATCCTGGTGGCCCTGCGGCACATCCTGAGGCAGACGGAGGACGGTAGGGGTGGCAGTGGCAGCCAGCCACAGCAGGTGACCCAGCGGCCCGATGAAGGCAAGGAGAGCCTGAGCAAGAATCTGCTCTTAGTAGCCCTGTGCCTGACCTTCGGGGTGGAGCTGGGCTTTAAGTTCGCCACCAAGACCGTCATCTACCTGCTCAACCCCTGTCACCTGGTCACCATGATGCATGTGAGTCTGTTGACTTTTTCCTGGGCAGCCTGAGTGATACAAGTCATTTGTGTGCTCAGGACACTCGGTAGTATAGAGCACCTCATCCCTATGGGAAGTGGGACCCTTAAAAATGATTTTTCCAATGAGTGGCTGCCTTTGTGCCCATTTCAGATTTGGCTTTGCACAATGTGTGGTCAGCCCCGCAGTGGAGGTGAGGAACCTTGTGTCTCAACCTGAGAACCACTGGCACTCAGGCCAGCGGCCCCTCCTCTCCCTGCCCTAGCCTGGCCTTTTACAAGCAGGAAGTCCTGCCCCAGCCAGGTGCCCTTTTTGAATCACAACTGTGGACCATGGCCCAGCCCTTTTGCCTTTGGTGATAGTTCGATTCTCAGTGGCCTGGTGACACTCTTTCCCAAGGTTGTCACATAAGCTTCCTTGTCTCCACTGTGGTACTTTGGGGAAGTACTTTTATGGGTTTCTCTTAGTGACTCTTTCATTGGGGAGTTTATATTCTTGGGGGTGAGGTCTGCCTTTGAGTTCTGAGGCACTGGAGCTGCCCCAGGCTTCTACCAAGTGCTCCCTGAAACAGGCCCCAGGCCGACTCATGAACTTTGGGCTGGTGATCTCTATCTGGTGAGAGGATATTTACAATTTTCAAACTTCTCCATCTTATCACTCTGTCTCCTGTGGTTATGGTCCAGGGGTGCTCAGAAAGCTGATTTCTTTACCTCCTCGGCTTCTACCCATTAGTGATGTTAAGGAAAACAAAAGGGATTGAAAAGGAAAGTTGCCAGATACATAAAAATAATCTGGGTGAGGACCAAGTGTGAGACGGTCTTTCTGTACTCAGCCTGTGCAGTGTGCAGAGAGATGTTCCGAAGCTATAAAATCATGGAGGAGGAGGAGGAGGAGGAGGAGGAGGAGGAGGAGGAAGAAGGGGATAGGGGGAAAGCAATCTGTCTTTAGATTTCAGGCTGAGAAAACCTGGTACATTTTCCTTAGGGGCAGTTTTGAAACCCGTCATTAGCATCTTTATTGCTTTTGTATTTGTAGAAGGTTATTCTCAGGAGACTTAGACAACCATGTGTGGGGCAGGAGGTTGAGATTATTATCTCCATTTTACAGCCTTGGCAGCACTCAGGGATGGAAGGTCACTTGCCTGCAGCCAAAAGATGAATTAGCCTCTGGGATGGAAAGCAAACCCATCCTCTGGAGTTACAAGCTGTCAATCCCAAAGTGGGGGTGTCAGTGGGTGGTGGGGCAGTCCTTTGGAAGGCCTGGGCAGATAAACATGGCAGATGAGCATACATAGCACTGTCTCCTTGTGGCTCAGATACTTGCTAGCTGTGTGTGCAGTGCCTGACTCAGTTTCTCAGTCTGTAAAATGTGGTGAATGATCTGTGGCCTATTCCCATTTTGCAGATGTGGAAAGAAAGTGTGAATAGTTTTGGAATAAGGAGGCTGTTATTCATTGGGTGACTGTAATCATGGAACGGAGCTGGAGTGGGCAGCAGTATTTCAGTGTTTCTTGGAAAGTGATGCTATTCACCGGAAGTCCAGGGCTGTCCAGCTATACCTGCTGTATAAATTTGAGCCAGTCTTCTTTCCTTTTTTTTTTTTTTTTTTTTTTATGAATGGGCTTTTTGTTAAAGAGAGAGAACAATGTACCTCAGCCGCTGTGTGAGGCTCTCAGGACAGGAGTGTTTTTTAGGATGGCAGGTGGTGAAGGTCAGAGGGTAGCCCTTTTACAAAGGGGTCTTGAGGCCTCTGGCTAGAAAGTCAACAGAGGACTAAATTAAGCCTCACTGGGACTGATGCTGGTGTGAACATATCAAAGATAGCACCATGGTTTTTAGAGGAATGATTTTTAGAGGCTTTTAGAAGACTCGTGAGACCTAGGTATGGCATTAATTGGTTGTATGACTTTAAGGGAAAATTGTCTTCCTGGGCCTCAGTTTTCCTATCTGTAAAATGAGGCAGAGTTGCACTTACAGCTCTTGACAGTCATGTGTTGTGATTCTTCCATTTTTAAGAAGTAGATAGGAATGCAACCGAGAGCTAGTGTGAAAGGTTTTTCACCTCCTTCTACCAAAAAAAGAAAACTAGTTTCTTCTCTGTGGAGTTTAGTTAGCCAGTCCCTATTCATCTTTTTTAAAAAAATTTGTTCTTTTTAGGTATACATGACAGTAGAGTGTATTTTGACATATTAAACATACATGCAGTATAACTTATTCAAATTAGGATCCCATTCTTGTGGTTGTACATGATGTGGCGTTTCACTGGTTGTGGATTCATATATGAACATTCTACTGTCTTTCCTATTCATATCTCTACCTATTTATCTTTTGCACTGTGTGTCTCCCCAGTAAAGTAGGCTCGACCACACCACTCTTGGACCCACATTCAGAGGATGATGATATTTGGGGGAGAGGTGGATATTTGGGGAATTGTGAACTGATTCCTGTCACCTGTGCTTTTTCTACTGTCCCATGCTTAGTTTAAACACTGAAGCTGTAAGGTGGGGATATGAATCATGAATGGAGTCATGCTGAGGAATTTTTGAGCCTCATCAGGATTATAATCCTATGCTGATGACCCCTAAATAACTCTTTTTATGCCATTTAAATAGTGACCTCTGGCCCATGAGAGGACCTAGCCTTTGATATCCAACTTTCCATACCTTCTGTGTGGCTCTTCCCTGGAAGCAGGAACAAATAGATTTTTAAAAGTTGCTGTGTGTCCTAGAAAAAATTAACAAAAGACGGTTGGAAACAATTTTCTGACTTGGTTGCAGCAATGACTAATGATAATATGTAAGGTTAATAATACCGTGCATTTATCTAGCACTTTACTATTTATAAGGCACTTTCATATGCATTATATTATATGGGGTTGTGATAGATCAGCTTGAGACTAGAGAAAGAGATGTTAAAATGTTTCTCATGACTGTATATTCCAAGGGGAAGATAGTATATATAAAGAAATGCTTTGGTTAGTGAATCAGCTGAATTAGGCTATATTGTAATAGTATATTCTGTGGAGTTTAGAAATCCAGAAAAGGAAAGGGAGATGTTAACTGAAGTAAAAGGAGTAGCTTAGCAAAGGACATTTCTTTTTCTTTCTTTCTCTCTCTCTCTCTCTCTCTCTCTCTCTCTCTCTCTCTCTCTCTCTTTTTGCAAGGGATTGAACACAGGCTCTCACACATACTAGGCAGGAGCAAGGGGCATTTCTGCTATGTGACTCCAACCCATTGACTATTTTGGTTTTGTAGAAAGGCCTTTTTCCTCAGAGTCAGTATAAGTTGTAACAAGGGCTATATTGCTTTTGAGATAGGAACTAGAAAAGTTGGAGGGAAACTGGTTATTTTCTCCATCTCCCATTTTTCAGTCTGAAAAATATTCATTCCCAGTGCCTTGTCACACAGACCCTCATCATAGTCACGCTGCTGTCAGGTGACTGCCAACTGTAGTAGCATAAGGAAGGGCAGTACTTACGTATGAATTATTCTTTTTTAAAATATGCCAATTTTTAAAACTTTATTTATTTTTAGGTGGTGCTGAGGATGGAACCCAACCACTGAGCCACATCCCCAGCCTATTTTGTATTTTATTTAGAGACAGATCTCACTGAGTTGCTTAGCACCTTGCTATTGCTGAGGCTGGCTTTGAACTCACAATCCTCCTGCCTCAGCCTCCTGAACTGCTAGGACTACGGGCATTACATCACCACTCCCGGCCGAATTATTCTTGAATACTGTTCCTGCTGCTGGGTTTCTGTTTGGTCTCATCAGATTTCTTAGGGGTCCTGGGACTATAGACTTATAGAGGGTTGTAGGATTGAAGTAGTACCAGATCAACAGCTCACCTACAACCTGAGATGTTTGGGGGTTCTCACGATCAGCAAGTATCAAGGATATCATGCCACTGTTAACACCCCTTGCTGAATATCGATGATGTCTACCAAATGTACCAGTATGCATGGCCAGTCACTCCCCTTTTGCCTATGATTTTGGCCGGTATGTGTGATAGGAAATGAATGTACTTGATTGTGCTATTTACCCCAAATCCCCTTACAGTTAGTAGCAGAGGTGGCCTGAGATATTAGCTACTCCAGGGAGAATCTGGACTTAGCAGGAAAAGATTCTATAGCTATTTAAATCTTAAAAATCATGTACAGGTATGAATATATTAAAATGAACCCCACTATTCTGTGTAATTATGTACCAGTAAAAATTTTTAAAAATCAACTGCAAAAAGTAGTAACTAATTCACAAACATGAATAAACATAAAATTAAACATCTATGTTGAAAATACATTTATTTAGTATTCAGTGACTGTTTTTCAGGCTAGTTTTATTTTTTTAAAATTTATAATGACTATCAAAATAAACTGAGTTCTTGGACTTCAAAAAAATTCTATAGTTTCTCAGCAGAAGGGTTAAAATGCCAGCTTAGCTAAAAGATTAGTGGCCTTGATTTAATGGCCCTGTATCTTCCTTGAGTCCAGTTATGTTGTTTTTGTCTTAAGAACTTAATGAAAAGATCCCTTTTTGGATGTCTTGTTTAGCTGCCCAATGCCTGATGGTTCTGTATGTATCTGTGCCAACAGATCCTGGTTAGGCATTGGACTTAGGAGAGCATACCATATGCCATTTAACTCTTAATGCCTTTGTACATAAAGCCAGGTTGGACATTTGGCAAATAGTAATTGATGCCATTGACCCTTTTAATCCAAGCTACTGTCTTTTGCCAAAAATACTGAGCCCCATTCTTTTTTAGAATTGCCACTCCTATTTGACTTTCTGTCTTCATTATAACAATTAGAAGTTTGATTTCCACCAAATATGACTTATCTGCTTGGGTTCACCATTTGATTTTCTTATTTACTTCCTCCTCTTTGCTAAAAGTGTAGAATGGCATGTACTCAAAAAATTCTGAGCTTTTGGTGACATCCTTTGTAACTCAGTAAATATACACTGGTGCATTCCAGTTACCATGTGATAGATTTGTTTTAGAGAA